ATTCACTATCATGGGGCTATATAAATCAAATTCCGGGTAATTAGGAGCACAATTCTATCTTTTACTATTTAAATGTATTTGTATTATATATTTTTGGGCTATTAAAGTGACATTTCTGGGTGACTTTGTCAGTTTATGGAGCTTAGCCCACAATTCCCGGAGGTTCCAGGCCGAATTTGGGAGCTCATAGCCGGCCTGCCATGCGCCCCCACCCGTGGAAAGCCGAAAAAAGTAAAGAAAACGGTCAATTATATCTTAAAATAATCAAAAATGAAGTTTAAAAAAATTCTCGAAAAAACGACAGAGTGCTCCAAAAAGCTCAAGTCTTCGGCGCTTCGGGCGGAAGCCCCGAACACTTTTCCACTTCCCCGTTGCATTTTACAACAGAGAGGGGAATCGAGACCTCCCCTCCTCCGTCAAAAAAAATAATTCATGTTTTTCAAGCTACTATCCGCATGAAATCGGAAACCCAGTTTTTGAGAGGACTCAGAAAAAAAACGGCTGTTTCACATCATGGAGGAATGTGTCCGCTACATGAGTGCTTTGGCTCGGATACAATTGTTGCATGGAGACAGTGGTTGCGTTAGACTTTTTTGTTGTCTGTAATTTTGACGGACAGGATCGTAACATTCCCGTCATAATCCATTATTACCCGTCATTTTATTTTTCATGTTTTAATGATGAGATGAGACATATTTAATATTTATGTTTGAGTACTGAGCAGCAAATGTTCAATCATTATTATTTTTTTAATGATTCATAAAGAACTTTTAAGGGCATGGAGAAAAAAAAAGATGAACAGAGACACCGACCGTGTGGTCACTTTTCATGTCAACACGAACATGAATGATTTATTTGTTCCTGCACTGACAGACAGCAGAGGGGGGCAGAGGCCGCTAAAAACACCACGACCATTGGGCCTAAACAGGCAAATATGAACAATGCCATCGTTTTAAATGAGACAATTACAATCAGAATATGAACAAAACATTTACAAGAACAACTCAATTGACCTGCTGTAGCCTGAACGCTGATTTCTGCATCGTCGTGCACCCTTGGACAAATCCGTTACTCATCTTAGCTTCTCTACAGATGTCGCAGAACATTTTGCCATCTTCCCTCCTCAGCCACTTAAACTCTTGCTCCCACTGAACCCGGTACTCCCGCTTGAACTCCTTGCCACTTGCTTGCCCCTCTGCCGCTGGCTGAACGTTGTCAGTTTGAGTCTTACTGGCTTGTCCTTCATCCTCCACCGCATCAATCCCTCTTTTCACCTCGTGTATCCAAACCATCACAATTACTGGGCTTATTAAAAAAGCTTCGGACGATCAGCTGCCGTGACATTTTGCGATTGCTAAAGCCGGTTAAACAACGAGGTAATCAACGAGGTCAAAAACAAGACTAGACAATAGCTACTTAATATACACACACTCGCCACCAACTGGACAGGGGTGTGAATGACTAACAGTTACAGACTACAGTAGAGTAGATCGCCCTCAGTCGACCTGGCCACTAAGGATGTCATATAATGTGGGCCGCTGGTGGACATTTTGGCGCTGTTCCGAGTTGTGTTCTAATCTGTCAAAATGACGGACTGCTTTCAGATTTTTCCGTCATTGTTAGAAAAAATCCGTCATTGGCGGAAAATATTCGGTTAACGCGACCTCTGCCTGGCCCCCCATGGTTCTTACCAAACTTTAAGTGTTTGAACTGGTCTCTGGAGGAATGCAAGGGGAGTTGTCAGGGGACTCTACCCGCCTTAAGAGACACTATTTTGGGATACAATTTCTCCATTTTCACCCCTTTTCTCTGGTTCTCCCAAAAGATAACAGAGTTTTTCCTGACTCTGGAGGAATGTAAGGAGAGTTGTCAGGGGACTCTTGCGGGCTCATGATGCACTATCTTCGGATACTTTTTTTCATTTTCAGCCCTTTTCCATGGATGAATTGAAACTTATTTTTTCAGCAGCCTCCCGTAGTCAGACCCCTCTCAAGACCCCGGTCAAGACTGTCATGCGGTCCCCAGCAGCCTCCCGTAGTCAGACCCCTCTCAAGACCCCGGTCAAGACTGTCATGCGGCCCCCAGCAGCCTCCTGTAATGGACTGGCCCTCTCCTCACTGGTCCACTGGGAAGGGACGGGGGAATACCATGCGTGAAATCACATTGCCTCAAAGCATGGAGACGTACATTCAGACATACAGGCATCATTGTGAGGGTGTCGCACCGACAGTAAAACGGAAAGAACATTTTCTGTCCAATGTCAGCCGGATAAAGAACTTCCTCGTATTCATGGCCCATGGTGTTAACCGGCTGTCAGACTGGCTGTTCCTAAAAGACACGGAGAGGGTCCGTGGCTGGAGCGAGTATATTGTAAAGTCGGGCCGGGCAGTCACAACATCGCTGTTGTTCCTGAAGAATGTGAACCATTTCCTGAGGTACTTGTCTGAGTCAAAGCTCCGGGGGTGCAGGCTCACCCAGTCTGATATGACCCACATCATCAGAGAGGTGAAAGCCAACATGAACAACTTGAAAAAGTCTGTCACTGTCCACCAGTTCAAGATGAAGAGGAACAAGCTGGATCGTCTGCCGAGCCAGGCGGAGCTTCTCGCCGCCATGGCGGCCGCTGAGAAGCGCATCCCTGATCTCCTTGACCTGATGGCTTGCAACCCAACCTCAATCACCCAGTACCTGCTATATGGCTATCTAACCCTCCATTGGAGCCTCCTGTATGGCCACCGTCCGGGTGTGTACGCAAACATGACCAACACTGAGGTGTTAGAGGCGGACTTAAGGGGCACTGCTGAGGGCTACATCATCCATGTGCAGGATCACAAGACTGCCAAGACATTTGGCGAAGCACAGCTGGTGCTTACAGTAAAGGAGTTTGGCTGGGTCATGCGGTGGATGGGGATAAAAGAGGGCTTGTCGGGTCCTCAGAATGAATTCTTCCTTTTCAACGGGGAAGCATGACTCCAGGAACCTGAACGCTCACTTGAAGAGGGCTTGGGCTGATGCTGGGCTAGAAACAGCCGTCACCTTCACAATCCTGCGCACTGCCCTGTCAGACAATATCAAGCATCACCAAGATCCAGAAAGCAGGTCGATTCTCGCCAGGTTTATGTGTCACGACGTAAGCACTGCAGACCGGTTCTACGCGAATACGCCTGGAATAAAGGAGGGATTGAAGATCCGCTCCATGTTCAGGGCGGCAGCAGCAGCAGCATCATCGGAAGGAGTTCTACTGCCGTCAGATACCTCCGAAGAGGGCTCAGAGGCGGCGAGCAGCGATACCTCTTCTTCAGGGCCGGTTGATACTCCTGATGAGGGGGTAGAGGCCGTGGACTCAACCTGTTTCCCTCGGTGCACCGTACAAGTTAGACGGCTCATATGGCCCCCGCTAATCATGTTTTTATCATGTTTTTATTATGTTTTTATTATGTTTATTATGCATATTGTGTATACTGCTTTTGTAAAAATCGTGTGATAATTAAATAAATAAAAAAACATTTATATAACCTTGAAGGTTCCCAGGGGTTGATACAGTGCCAGGTATCAGACTATTTAAACAAAGTTTACCCAGGATTCAGACACCTTCCCTGGCTTGTAAAATGCGGCGATGCGCCCTGGAGGTATCAGACTATTTTAAACAACTTTCCCCGCCTTTCAAACACTTATTCCTGGGTTTTAGCCTGTCCTTTTGCACGATATCATTTAACATCGAACCTCTCCTGGAAATGGAGAGGTTCGATGTTAAATGATATCGTGCAAAATGACAGGCTAAAACTCTCTTCCAGACGTTTAAAAACACTTTTCCCAACCATTTAAACATTATTTCTGGCTTGTAAAGTGCAGTGATGAGCCCTGGTAGTATCAGACTATTTAAAGGGTTACCAGGAGCATGAGAATATCCTCCACAGAAGGGGGGGGCGGGGTGGTGGTGCCGTGAAGAAGGCCGAATATGGATGCTGATGGGCTGACACCACAAAATCCACCACCTTTAAGTTTTATCAGGGGCATGAGGTTATGTAGAGTGTGATCATCTGGGTTTAGTCCGTGGGGGAGTGCTTAAGTCCGGGGGCCCGGGGACTCACGGTGTGCACGGTTATGGAGGTGTCCATGTCAGGGAGACTGCTGGAGGTCATTAGTCCATCCTTTGGGGCTCTTTGAGGGGCCACAGAGAGGTGCAATTACTGGTCTCTCTCCTGGAGGTGTGAAATAAGCAGAGTGCCCATGTCAGGGAGACTGCTTGAGGTCTGTAGTCCATCCTTTGGTGGTCTTGGAGGGGCCACAGAGAGGTGATTTCCCCAGTCTCGGTCCTGGATGTGTGAAATAACCTGAGTCCCTATTTCAGGGACACATGCTGGAGATCTCTCTCCCGAGAGTGGACGTCCATTGCCTCTAAATAGAGGTAAAATTAGGGCTGTCACTTTGGGTAACCGCACCACTGTCAGACGTCTCCCGAGAATGGACGTCCATTGTCTCTAAATTGGGATAGGGATGTTTATTGAACTTCGTTTTAAAACATGGATGGCTCTGCTGCTCAGCGCTGCTGCTTGCTTCAATCTGTGTCTGCGTTCTTCGCACCTGCCTGTAATCTGAGAAGGTCCCGCCTCTGGCTGGCTCCCGCCCGGAAAATCTTCAGTGTTGATTGACACTTCAGTAATAGCCTATCAGATAGCGCTGTGGGCGGGACATTGCTCGTGTACACTGAGTGGTGACTGCAGCCAGGGAAACGGCCGCATCAGAGCCAAAGTTTTATCGGCAATTTGATTTAAAAAAAGGCTGATAATCGGTCAATTGTATTGTGTGTGGAATGTTGAGAAACAAAAATAATTTAATCCATTTTGAAATAAGGCTGAAACATAACAGAATGTGAGATAAGTTGAAGGGGATGAATACTTTCCGGATGCACTGTTCCTGTAATAAGTGGTTGTTGACATCTGACAGGCGATCATGAAGGAAGCTGACCTGTAATAACCAGCTGTTGTTGTTGTGTTCAGGTGATCATGCCGGGTTACTGCGTTCAGGGAACCATTGGACACAAGATCCTGAACGGACAGAGGAAGCTGGAGTTGGAGGGCAGGTCTACGGTGTGTGTGTGTGTGTGCGTGTGTGTGTGTGTGTGTGTGTCTGTGAGTGTGTGTGTGTCTGTGAGTGTGTGGTGTGTGTGTGTGTGTGTCTGTGAGTGTGTGTGTGTGTGTGTGTGTGTGTGAGTGTGTGTGTGTGTGTGTGTGTGGTACATGTCGCCAGCTAACAGTGTGTGTGTGAGAGCAGCTGGAGGTGAAGCTACAGGTGGAGTACATGTCGTTAGCTAACAGTGTGTGTGTGTGTCACAGCCGGAGGTGAAGCTAACATGTCGTCAGCTAACAGTGTGTGTGTGTGTGTGTGTGTGTGTGTGTGTGTGTGTGTGTGTGGTGTGTGTGTGTGTGTGTGTGTGTGTGTGTGTGTGTGTGTGTGTGTGTGTGTGTGTGTGTGTGTGTGTGTGGTGTGTGTGTGTGTGTGTGTGTGTGTGTGTGTGTGTGTGTGTGTGTGTGTGTGTGTGTGTCACAGCTGGAGGTAAAGCTGCAGGTGGAGTACATGTCCTTCAGTGCTCATGCAGATGCTAAAGGCATCATGCAGCTCATCAGGATGGCTGAGCCCAGGAATGTGCTGCTGGTTCACGGAGAGGCCGTCAAGATGGAGTTCCTCAAGGGCAAGATCGAGCAGGAGTTCAGTGAGTACCCTCAAGATCAATAGCCGCGTTCACACCGCATACTTTGCAGTACTTAGTGCCGGCACTTAGTGCCCCGGCACTAATTACCCCAGGGCACTAAGTACCAATTGCGTTCACTCCGGAGTACTTTTCCCTGAGGGAAGATTACGCAAATGAGCCGCTGACGTCACTTCTTCTTCTGCTTTGGGTTTACTGGCAGGCTGCAAACAACTTCACAGCGTATACTGCCACCCGGAGTCCCCGGCCCGAAGTCCCCGGAGTTGGGGAAGGCTTCAGTCGAAGCTGCTGGGACTCCCAGCAGCTTCGACTGAAGCCTTCCGAGTAAATCGCCAGAACGCCGACACCTCCTCATCTCCACTGCTCCCATGTTTTATTTTGTGTTGCCATAAGTTATTCTCTCTGCGTTGGTGCGCTGGGCGAATGCTAATTCTAATAATGCTAATGCCACAAATACAATGGCGGCTTCACAAAACTTTTCAGAGTTTTACGGGGCGTGGTTTGCAATTCGCCCAGCCAATCAGAACTGGGGCACTTTTTCCCCCCAGGATAGTACCACCTCTCAGCAGGCACTAACAATGGGGGTAAAAGTTCCCGGCACTAAGTACTCCTTTTGGTGTGAACGCAACATAAGGGGTACTAACAGAACTAAAGGGGAAAAGTACGGGGAAAAGTACTCCGGTGTGAACGCGGCTATTAGGCGCTTTCACACCGGAGTACTTTTCCCGTTTAGTTCCGATAGTTCCTGGGATTTTGCGTTCACACCAAAAAGAGAACTTAGTTCATGAGAACTTTTACCCCCATGCCATTGTATTTGCTGGCATTAGCATTATTAGCATTAGCCCTGCGCACCAACAGAGAGGGAATAACTTCTGGCAACACAAAGAAAACATGGGAGCGGTGGAGATGAGGAGGTGTCGGCGTTCTGGCGATTTACAGTCCCCAACTCCGGGGACTTCCGGCCGGGGACTTGCCTATACTGCCACCCGGCAGTACACGCCGTGAAGTGGTTTGCGGCCTGCCAGTAAACCCAAAGCAGAAGAAGAAGAAGTGACGTCATCTGCTTCATTTGCGTAATCTTCCCTCAGGGACTTATTCCGGTGTGAATGCCATCTGCTCTTTAGTTCCGTGGGGGAACTAAGTGCTGGGAACTAAGTACGGCAAAGTACTTGGTGTGAAAGCGGCTATTATACACACCCGCAAGATCAATATACACTCCCTCAAGATCACTAAACCCAATGTTAGTCACTAAACCCAATGTTAGAGTCTATGAACCCAATGTTAGAGTCTATGAACCCAATGTTAGAGTCTATGAACCCAATGTTAGAGTCTATGAACCCAATGTTAGAGTCTATGAACCCAATGTTAGAGTCTATGAACCCAATGTTAGAGTCTATGAACCCAATGTTAGAGTCTATAAACCCAATGTTAGAGTCTATGAACCCAATGTTAGAGTCTATGAACCCAATGTTAGAGTCTATGAACCCAATGTTAGAGTCTATGAACCCAATGTTAGAGTCTATGAACCCAATGTTAGAGTCTATAAACCCAATGTTAGAGTCTATAAACCCAATGTTAGTCTATGAACCCAATGTTAGAGTCTATAAACCCAATGTTAGAGTCTATGAACCCAATGTTAGAGTCTATGAACCCAATGTTAGAGTCTATGAACCCAATGTTAGAGTCTATGAACCCAATGTTAGAGTCTATGAACCCAATGTTAGAGTCTATAAACCCAATGTTAGAGTCTATAAACCCAATGTTAGTCTATGAACCCAATGTTAGAGTCTATAAACCCAATGTTAGAGTCTATAAACCCAATGTTAGAGTCTATGAACCCAATGTTAGTCACTAAACCCAATGTTAGAGTCTATGAACCCAATGTTAGAGTCTATGAACCCAATGTTAGAGTCTATAAACCCAATGTTAGAGTCTATAAACCCAATGTTAGAGTCTATAAACCCAATGTTAGTCTATTAACCCAATGTTAGTCTATGAACCCAATGTTAGAGTCTATGAACCCAATGTTAGAGTCTATGAACCCAATGTTAGAGTCTATAAACCCAATGTTAGTCTATGAACCCAATGTTAGAGTCTATGAACCCAATGTTAGAGTCTATGAACCCAATGTTAGAGTCTATGAACCCAATGTTAGAGTCTATGAACCCAATGTTAGAGTCTATGAACCCAATGTTAGAGTCTATGAACCCAATGTTAGTCTATGAACCCAATGTTAGAGTCTATGAACCCAATGTTAGAGTCTATGAACCCAATGTTAGAGTCTATAAACCCAATGTTAGAGTCTATAAACCCAATGTTAGAGTCTATAAACCCAATGTTAGAGTCTATGAACCCAATGTTACAGTCTATGAACCCAATGTTAGTCTATAAACTCAATGTTAGTCTATAAACCCAATGTTAGAGTCTATGAACCCAATGTTAGTCTATAAACCCAATGTTAGAGTCTATGAACCCAATGTTAGAGTCTATGAACCCAATGTTAGAGTCTATGAACCCAATGTTAGAGTCTATAAACCCAATGTTAGAGTCTATAAACCCAATGTTAGAGTCTATGAACCCAATGTTAGAGTCTATAAACCCAATGTTAGAGTCTATGAACCCAATGTTAGAGTCTATAAACCCAATGTTAGAGTCTATGAACCCAATGTTAGTCTATAAACCCAATGTTAGAGTCTATGAACCCAATGTTAGAGTCTATGAACCCAATGTTAGAGTCTATGAACCCAATGTTAGAGTCTATGAACCCAATGTTAGAGTCAATTAACCCAATGTTAGAGTCTATGAACCCAATGTTAGAGTCTATGAACCCAATGTTAGAGTCTATGAACCCAATGTTAGAGTCTATGAACCCAATGTTAGAGTCTATGAACCCAATGTTAGACTCTATAAACCCAATGTTAGAGTCTATGAACCCAATGTTAGAGTCTATAAACCCAATGTTAGAGTCTATAAACCCAATGTTAGAGTCTATAAACCCAATGTTAGAGTCTATGAACCCAATGTTAGAGTCTATGAACCCAATGTTAGAGTCTATAAACCCAATGTTAGAGTCTATGAACCCAATGTTAGTCTATAAACCCAATGTTAGAGTCTATGAACCCAATGTTACAGTCTATGAACCCAATGTTAGTCTATAAACTCAATGTTAGAGTCTATAAACCCAATGTTAGAGTCTATGAACCCAATGTTAGAGTCTATGAACCCAATGTTAGAGTCTATAAACCCAATGTTAGAGTCTATGAACCCAATGTTAGTCTATAAACCCAATGTTAGAGTCTATGAACCCAATGTTAGAGTCTATGAACCCAATGTTAGAGTCTATAAACCCAAGGTTAGAGTCTATGAACCCAATGTTAGAGTCTATGAACCCAATGTTAGAGTCTATGAACCCAATGTTAGAGTCTATGAACCCAATGTTAGAGTCTATAAACCCAATGTTAGAGTCTATGAACCCAATGTTAGAGTCTATAAACCCAATGTTAGAGTCTATGAACCCAATGTTAGAGTCTATGAACCCAATGTTAGAGTCTATAAACCCAATGTTAGAGTCTATAAACCCAATGTTAGTCTATGAACCCAATGTTAGAGTCTATAAACCCAATGTTAGAGTCTATAAACCCAATGTTAGAGTCTATTAACCCAATGTTAGTCTATGAACCCAATGTTAGAGTCTATAAACCCAATGTTAGAGTCTATGAACCCAATGTTAGAGTCTATGAACCCAATGTTAGAGTCTATGAACCCAATGTTAGAGTCTATGAACCCAATGTTAGAGTCTATGAACCCAATGTTAGAGTCTATTAACCCAATGTTAGAGTCTATGAACCCAATGTTAGAGTCTATGAACCCAATGTTAGAGTCTATGAACCCAATGTTAGAGTCTATGAACCCAATGTTAGAGTCTATGAACCCAATGTTAGAGTCTATAAACCCAATGTTAGAGTCTATGAACCCAATGTTAGAGTCTATAAACCCAATGTTAGAGTCTATGAACCCAATGTTACAGTCTATGAACCCAATGTTAGTCTATAAACTCAATGTTAGAGTCTATAAACCCAATGTTAGAGTCTATGAACCCAATGTTAGAGTCTATAAACCCAATGTTAGAGTCTATAAACCCAATGTTAGAGTCTATGAACCCAATGTTAGAGTCTATAAACCCAATGTTAGAGTCTATAAACCCAATGTTAGAGTCTATAAACCCAATGTTAGAGTCTATAAACCCAATGTTAGAGTCTATAAACCCAATGTTAGAGTCTATGAACCCAATGTTAGAGTCTATGAACCCAATGTTAGAGTCTATGAACCCAATGTTAGAGTCTATGAACCCAATGTTAGAGTCTATAACCCAATGTTAGAGTCTATGAACCCAATGTTAGAGTCTATGAACCCAATGTTAGAGTCTATGAACCCAATGTTAGAGTCTATGAACCCAATGTTAGAGTCTATGAACCCAATGTTAGAGTCTATGAACCCAATGTTAGAGTCTATGAACCCAATGTTAGAGTCTATGAACCCAATGTTAGAGTCTATAAACCCAATGTTAGAGTCTATAAACCCAATGATAGTCTATGAACCCAATGTTAGAGTCTATGAACCCAATGTTAGAGTCTATAACCCCAATGATAGAGTCAATGAACCCAATGTTAGAGTCTATGAACCCAATGTTAGAGTCTATGAACCCAATGATAGTCTATGAACCCAATGTTAGAGTCTATGAACCCAATGTTAGAGTCTATGAACCCAATATTAGAGTCTATGAACCCAATGTTAGAGTCTATGAACCCAATGTTAGAGTCTATAAACCCAATGTTAGAGTCTATAAACCCAATGTTAGAGTCTATGAACCCAATGTTAGAGTCTATAAACCCAATGTTAGAGTCTATGAACCCAATGTTAGAGTCTATAAACCCAATGTTAGAGTCTATGAACTCAATGTTAGAGTCAATAAACCCAATGTTAGAGTCTATAAACCCAATGTTAGAGTCTATAAACCCAATGTTAGAGTCTATAAACCCAATGTTAGAGTCTATAAACCCAATGTTAGTCTATGAACCCAATGTTAGACTATGAACCCAATGTTAGAGTCTATGAACCCAATGTTAGAGTCTATAAACCCAATGTTAGAGTCTATGAACCCAATGTTAGAGTCTATGAACCCAATGTTAGAGTCTATAAACCCAATGTTAGAGTCTATGAACCCAATGTTAGAGTCTATGAACCCAATGTTAGAGTCTATAAACCCAATGTTAGAGTCTATGAACCCAATGTTAGAGTCTATGAACCCAATGTTAGAGTCTATAAACCCAATGTTAGAGTCTATGAACCCAATGTTAGTCTATGAACCCAATGTTAGAGTCTATGAACCCAATGTTACAGTCACTAAAGTCTGTGATGCCTGCTCAGATGGTGATATATTAATATTTAACATGTCCCTCATGTGTTTTCAGGTATCGACTGCCACATGCCGGCTAACGGAGAAACGGCTACGGTGCAGACGAACCCCAGCGTGCCGGTGGACATCTCTCTGAACCTGCTGAAGAGGGAGATGGCTCTGGGAGGTCCGTTATACATATACATGTCAAATATATAAACATGTGTATAACATAACTTAACTTATATATGTTATTAACGCTGTTTCAGGTCCGCTCCCTGACCCTAAGAGGCCCCGCACCATGCACGGCACGCTCATCATGAAGGACAACGTGAGTCCACCTGACACCTGTCCAACACCTGTCCAACACCTGTCCATCACCTGTCCCAATCACCTGTCAATCACTTGTCCATCACCTGTCCAACACCTGTCAATCACCTGTCCAACATCTATCCAACTACCTGTCCAACCACCTGTCCAACACCTGGGGGTTCACCTGTCGGGGGGTTCACCTGTCGCAGGGTTCGAGGGGTTCACCTGTCTGAGGGGTTCACCTGTCAGGGGGTTCACCTGTCGGGCGGTTCACCTGTCGAGGGGGTTCACCTGTCGGACGGTTCACCTGTCGGGCGGTTCACCTGTCGGGCGGTTCACCTGTCGAGGGGGTTCACCTGTCTGAGGGGTTCACCTGTCGGACGGTTCACCTGTCGGGCGGTTCACCTGTCGGGCGGTTCACCTGTCGAGGGGGTTCACCTGTCTGAGGGGTTCACCTGTCTGAGGGGTTCACCTGTCGGGCGGTTCACCTGTCCGGCGGTTCACCTGTCGAGGGGGTTTTTACATTACATTACATTGCATTTAGCTGACGCTTTTATCCAAAGCGACTTACAATAAGTACATTCGACCAGGAAGACACAACCTTGAAGAAAACAGAATCATATAAGTATATCAGGTTTCATAGAGCCAAACATTTCAAGTGCTACTCAACTGGCTTTACTGGGTTCACCTGTCTGAGGGGTTCACCTGTCGGGCGGTTCACCTGTCGAGGGGGTTCACCTGTTGGAGGGTTCACCTGTCGGGGGATTATTTATTAAAGTAACTCATGTATTTATTATTATTTGCTGTGTCCCCTCTCAGAGTCTGAAGCTGGTCTCCTCAGAACAGGCACTGAAGGATCTGGGTCTGAACGAGCACCAGCTGCGCTTCACCTGTAGAGTCCAGCTGCAGGACCAGAGCCCAGAGCAGGAGACACTGAGCAGAGTGTACACACACCTGAGGAGGTGACACACACACACACACACACACACACACACACACACACACACCTGAGGAGGTGAGACACACACACACACACACACCTGAGGAGGTGACACACACACACACACCTGGGGAGGTGAGAGGCACACACCCACACACCTGAGGAGGTGAGAGGCACACACACACACACACCTGAGGAGGTGAGAGGCACACACCCACACACCTGAGGAGGTGACACACACACACACACACACCTGGGGAGGTGACACACACACACACACCTGAGGAGTTGACACACACACACACACACACACACACACACACACACACACACACACACACGTGAAGTAAAAACTTCTTTGCAGCAATGTTGAGCGCATCATCAAATGAGGGAAACTGGATTCACCTGTCAATACACTGATATTTATTGAGAGCCTGAACGGCCGGAGAGTTCACAGCATATCACAGTTCTCCTGTAAGATACCAGCAAACTCTGAACTCCAAAAGCGCCAAGCACCCCTCTATACAAAGAGAAGAGGAGGGCCCTAAAACACGCGGGTTTTCCTTTAATGCATGCCAGATGTCGAGACAAAGACTCGTTGCATTGTAAACCCACATGAGCCAAGCTTCTCCCCCACAAGACATCAGATGACCTCTTGACCTGTGTCTTCCTGAGAAGCTATGGATCACATTACAGGCAGGAATACACTTCAACCATATTAAACAGATTCCCGAGGACAAATCACTAAACTCTATATACTTTAACAAGACCAAAATATTCCTTTACAGATCCACCCTTTTATCAATTTATGATAATCAATTAACATTAGTCTAAAGAATATTTCAGTCAATACTTAAGTCAATAAGCGTCTTCAGAGTTGTGTGGGCTCACTCACATTAATTACATCAAAAGTAGAACAAGATTGAAAACACTTCAATCACCATGACAAGATACAATCAATCATAATAAAATCATCTCTCTTCAGTGCTTGGCATCATTTGTCAAAAAGCACAATAATAAACACGTGAAATAAAACAATATTATAGCAAAATATATGTTTCAAGAATAAGATATTTTATCATTTATCCCTCAGTTAATCTCCTTCATCAAACACAAATTCTAAATCAGCTTACACCTCAAAGATTTACTTTAAGGCAATTACTTATTAAAACACAATTAGAATTTAGGATTTATAATAAATCCAATTGAGGTATAAATCAGACTTCAACTATCAATCATTATGTCATCTCAAAATCTGAAGGGAAAACTGAACAATTCTCAAAATGTTTAACAATCTGAAGAATCAAACATTTTATTGTATAACGACCTGAGAAGGGAAAAAATCAAAACATCTGTTCTTTATTCAGAGCATCAACTGAGATCAATATCAAGACATCTGTTCTTTATTCAGAGCATCAACTGAGATCAATATCAAAACATCTGTTCTTTATTCAGAGTATCAACTGAGATCAATATCAAAACATCTGTTCTTTATTCAGAGTATCAACTGAGATCAATATCAAGACATCTGTTCTTTATTCAGAGCATCAACTGTAATCAATATCAAAACATCTGTTCTTTATTCAGAGCATCACTGTAATCAATATCAAACATCTGTTCTTTATTCAGAGTATCAACTGAGATCAATATCAAAACATCTGTTCTTTATTCAGAGCATCAACTGAGATCAATATCAAAACATCTGTTCTTTATTCAGAGCATCAACTGAGATCAATATCAAGACATCTGTTCTTTATTCAGAGCATCAACTGAGATCAATATCAAAACATCTGTTCTTTATTCAGAGCATCAACTGGACAATATCAAGACATCTGTTCTTTATTCAGAGCATCAACTGATCAATATCAACAATCTGTTCTTTATTCAGAGCATCAACTGAGATCAATATCAAACATCTGTTCTTTATTCAGAGCATCAACTGAGATCAATATCAAACATCTGTTCTTTATTCAGAGTATCAACTGAGATATATCAATATCACAAACATCTGTTCTTTATTCAGAGTATCAACTGAGATCAATATCAAAACATCTGTTCTTTATTCAGAGCATCAACTGAGATCAATATCAAGACA